ATATATATATATATGAGAGATAGAGAGAGTTGGACTTTCTACTCCTATATTTTTGCATCTACAACTTTATAAGGGGGTTATTTGGCCAGCAACAAAAAAGGTGCATTACATCCCTTTTGCAGGGATTTTAAAAATTTAAATGTTTAGTCGGAAGAAAAATAAATGTAGTATAAAAATTCAACGCATTTAAAATTTACTCTCTAGTTCATTTTGAATGTATTTGGAATATGTTGGGTTGGGACAGTTTCAATACATTGTTTTGTGTAAAATGTCCGCTCGTCACCTATCGTCGGTCTCTGTCCCCGACGCCACAATCGGTCGCCGCCCCCGCCCCCAACGCCGCCTCGTGTCGCCAACTCGCCACCACTGATTTAACAAGTTTATTTTACATTAAATTTGCTTTTCTTCAAACCAAACAAGAAAATACAAAGTTATGCATTTATGTTACACTAAACCAAACAACTAAAAAAAATTTCATACATTTATGTTACACTAAACCAAACAACTAAAAAAAATTTCATATATAATATATTACTTTAATGCTACATTCCTTTTTCAGCAAATCAAACAGCCCCATAAACTTAAAAGTCAATCTCACACATTTGATTATGATCTAAAACAAGAAAAGAACTTTAGATGAGTTTCATCAAGTTTTAGAATAATGTAACAATCCATCGAGTCTTATTAAAAGAACATAGGTAAATGATCACTGCAAAAGCCCTCTTCAGTTTCTAATATTTCCAATGAATTTTACCAATCAAAATCATAAAATATACTCTGCATATCATCACCCATGTATTTAATTCTAAGCAATTTAGAATGCTCTATGGCTTAAAATCAAATTATAATCTTATGCAAGTGGAGCAATCAATTGAAAAAATGTTAGATGCATCCCATTGGTGATCAAATGAATTTAAATGCCTTTGAAATATTGTATGCATCTAGTTTTAATGTTAAAGAGAATGTCAGTTTTGATCTTGCATTGGAACAACAAAACATCAAATTTTAAATAGGTGGAGAATATTAATTCTCCTCTTAGAAGAAGAAAAGGTCACTCTATGTATAATAAGGCAAGATATTTCAATGAAATTGTAGAAAAATCATCAAAGCATAAGAGCCCAGGATAATGTTTTAAAATGTTTTTCACTTCTTAGCTTGATCTGATGTACCCACCAATTCAGAACCAATAGACCCGACTCTAGACGACAAGCACTACTTCAAGTTAATACCAACCTGGATCATAAACTGCAGCCAATAGTTTCGCAGATTGGAACCAACAAAAGCCAATGTGTGAGTTACTAACAAAGGCGAATTATCAGAACAACCCAATAGGATTTGTTGGTTGATAGTTTGCACCATAATATGAAGCTATCCATATTATGCGTCTGAATTGATTTCTAACACATTAGCCAGAGTTAGTAATTAATATGGTGAAGGCAAACTGCGGTAATACCCAAATTTTGATAAGATACTAGTCCAAAAATATCCAAATAAACTATACCAAAATTTTAACTTTTTCAAAATTCAACACAAATTATTTCATTGCATTCTTTTATTCGAAACAAATCATTTTAATAACCATAACTATAGTCTAACTCTCAAAGATGGGAAAGTTAATGAACTAATTTTCAACTTGATAATTTTTTCCTAAATTTTTAATTAATTTTAAAGTGCTCCTTACTGTAGCATAGAAGTGGAATATGAATTTTTTCCAGTTATTTGTGCAAGCAGCGAGTGATGAAATTGGATGGGATGATATAGTTATCATATATATATATATATATATATATATATATAAATATATAACAGCTTATTAAGTAAATTATTCAAATTACCCCCTCGTTATTTCCCTTAATTTCCCCATCCCGTGAGCTGCTGAAGGCGAAAAAGAGATGAAAAAAGGTGCAGGTCTTTGGGAAAAATGAAGCAAAAAAAAGAAAGAAGAGGAGAAGAAGAGAAGAAGACGAGAAAGAGAGGAGAAAAAAATGGGAGTTAGATTTTGATTCTAAAATTTGGTTCTGCTATTCATGAGTACAAGCTCGCAATTAAATGTATTTTGATTACATAAATATTTTGTTAGTTGGTAATAATTTTAAATAAAAACATTTGATATTTGTAAATTGTGTGTGTGCGTGTGTAGTTCAATAGTGTTCAATAGTGATTATATATATATATATATATATATAGAGAGAGAGAGAGAGAGAGAGAGAGAGAGAGATTTATTTAGATGCTCAATGATGCAAATGTAGTAAACTTAAAAAGTATATATAAATATATAACAGCTTATTAAGTAAATTATTCAAATTACCCCCTCGTTATTTCCCTTGATTTCCCCATCCCGTGAGCTGCTGAAGGAGAAAAAGAGATGAAAAAGGGTGCAGGTCTTTGGGAAAAATGAAGCAAAAAAAAGAAAGAAGAGGGTAAGAAGAGAAGAAGATGAGAAAGAGAGGAGAAAAAAATGGGAGTTAGATTTTGATTCTAAAATTTGGTTCTGTTGTTCATGAGCAAAAGAACACATAATATTTTGACTGATGGGAGTTAGATTTTGATTCTAAAATTTGGTTCTGCTATTCATGAGTACAAGCTCGCAATTAAATGTATTTTGATTACATAAATATTTTGTTAGTTGGTAATAATTTTAAATAAAAACATTTGATATTTGTAAATTGTGTGTGTGCGTGTGTAGTTCAATAGTGATTATATATATATATATATATATATAGAGAGAGAGAGAGAGAGAGAGAGAGAGAGAGATTTATTTAGATGCTCAATGATGCAAATGTAGTAAACTTAAAAAGTATATATAAATATATAACAGCTTATTAAGTAAATTATTCAAATTACCCCCTCGTTATTTCCCTTGATTTCCCCATCCCGTGAGCTGCTGAAGGAGAAAAAGAGATGAAAAAGGGTGCAGGTCTTTGGGAAAAATGAAGCAAAAAAAAGAAAGAAGAGGGTAAGAAGAGAAGAAGATGAGAAAGAGAGGAGAAAAAAATGGGAGTTAGATTTTGATTCTAAAATTTGGTTCTGTTGTTCATGAGCAAAAGAACACATAATATTTTGACTGGTACAAGCTCGCAATTAAATGTATTTTGATTACATAAATATTTTGTTAGTTGGTAATAATTTTAAATAAAAACATTTGATATTTGTAAATTGTGTGTGTGTGTGTGTGTGTGTTTGAAGTTCAATAGTGATTATATATATATATAGAGAGAGAGAGAGAGAGAGATTTATTTAGATGCTCAATGATGCAAATGTATTAAACTTAAAAATATCATGTCATGAGTGAGACGTTGGCAAAGACATGTCTATGATATGTTTATGATATGCTATGATATTTGCACATGGGGGAAAAGGAGTCCCCTATGGAGCAAGAGGGTCCCGAATGGAGGCAAAAGGGTTCTTGATATAGTTCAATAGTGATAATGTTATATTTAACCTAGACTCTATTGGCATGATGATGTAGCCTTCAGACTGAGCTTATGTTGAACAATAATCTAGACAGACGTAAATGACATATTTTGAAACTAATTGAAATAAAAATCAGCAAATAATAAATAAACAAATAAAATGGAGGTAATTAAATTAATATGTAACTGACTAAAAATTTTCCTAACATAATACACTGGGACTCTGAGAACAATTGATATGCAATCATATTGTTATTTCATGTAGCAATATTTTAATATATATTTGAAGAAATTAAACTTTAACTTTCACTGTTATAGCAATTTATTAATCACAAGTACCTAATGTATATTTATGGCCATTCATGACTAGCACACATGTTGTTTATTGTTCTTTAATATTTAAACTCTATATTAATTTTTTAATCTTCCTAAGATGTATAGCTCACTATAAATGTTGTTTTAAGAGAAGGAAAATGAAAAAGGCTGAATAAAGTCAGTTTAATCATATTTTACTACATAGTTATCGTAAGTTAAAAATTTTGAGGTAAGATATTAGATGAAGCTCATGTTTTTTATAATGTTTTTTATGTATCTTACATAAAAATTTTTTAGGTAAGATATTATAAGAAGCTCATATTTTTTATAAGATTTTTATGTATCTTATATGTTATTTAGATATATTTAAATGATATATTTTGGATTTCTCCTGTTTAATTTGAATAACCAGATTTAAGTAGAATAATGTGTAGTGTTGTCCAAGGTGAATTTAGGTGACACAATTTATTTCTCATTATTCTAATGAGTAGAATACTAGAATTGGTGTTGCAAATGTACTCAATCATCTGAATCACACCGATCTCGGTTACATCCTGCATCGGCCGATGGAGGGAGTCGTCTAGCAGGTAAGCATAAGGAAAATAATTGTGTTATTAAACATTTTTAGACAAAGTATGGCATAAAAAAGTGTCACATATAAGGAAACTTCATGCAATGAGCCACCACCTAAAATGCCAATAGTTGCCACCCTATTATTTTCTAAAATTAGTAAATTTTGACACCCATTAAGAATGTTTATTATAGCATTGACATCAGATAAAGCCAAAGTAAATGACATAAAATGACTAAAAACAAATGTTTGTGCTACGCTTAAGATAAGCACTTTCTAAACTTCTCGATACCACCGCATAGTATCACTACCCACTTTCTATGTCATGCATGAAATGAATAACCCAATTTATTAAAAATAGTGTTATCTTAAAGAACATATGATAAAATATATTACAATAGGATGTTGAGTTTGTGAAAACACTCTCAAAAATGATTGTTGTTGACATTATGAGGGTGTCAACCCTCTAACAAAGAGGTGATGGGTCCTAAGACTAAAGAATAAACTTTGTACTCTTTCATGTTGATTTTGTTAAAGCCTATTACATTAACACTGTCAAGCTCATTTTTGCACCATGACTAATTGAGGCTGACAATCATGATAATGCCATGTTTCATTATTTAAAGGTCAAATTGTGATTGGCATGCATTTGTTAACTCGTGAATATTATGAGAACTATTGTTAAATTTATGTTTTTTACTGACTATTTCATACGATTGATATCACATTAAGTGCAATGTGTTGACACAAGTTGGGCATATGAGAGATAAAAAGGTCAATAACTATGGGCATTATTAAGTGGGGTGTTCAACGACTAGCGAGTCATCAGATGAAAGGTTCTCGTTATTGATTGATCGATTTCATGGAGAATTTTATAATTTTCTTATACTTTGATTTTAATGAGTATCGTCCTTCTATCAAGCGCATTTAAGCTTACACCAACAAACAATTAATGAATTCCAAGTTTAGATAAATTATATTTTAATTTTAATCATTTTCTTATGTTATATTTCATTGTGCATTCACTCTGAGAGATGTGGGTGACCAAGTGCCATCTCATGGTGCTAAGTCCAACGTCAACTCATGACCTATCAGGTCATTTATTTTCAAATTGAGGGAAAAGAAATTCTAGTGGCAAGAATCTCATCAATCATGGGTGTAATTCCCGACAATTTGGTTTAAATACAAAGAGCCTTACAAATCTCAATAGATTGAAAAAGCTAAGCTTATGGGATCATGATCTGAATGACAAGATTAGAATATCAAGATGATGTATGTTTTTCTCAAATAATACATAGAATGTCATGCCAACGGACTAATGACTAGGTCATTAAAACAGTTGTTAGCTCATGCAACAAAATAAAAGCTTTTGCAATGTTCATCTCACTTGGGATCAACAATGATTGATTCAATTGATATTTGGTTTAAAGGGAAAGGACAATGTTTGAGAATGCCACTATTTTAGCGTAACATAAACCATTAAACATTAAATAGTATTGCAAATTAACTACTTATGAAATGGTTGCTGAAGCTTTAGCAGAAACAATAGTTGTTGTAGCAACCCCAATAATAGTCGCATCTATTTCAAAATTTTACCAGCCCTGCCACATGACCTCTAAACTAAGCTAATTTACCCTTAGTTTTGCAGTAGCGAGTAGGGCATCTGTGACAAAGCACATGCTCTTCTCGTTGGTCTATGGTGACTGCCAAAGAAAATCAACAAGGATTGGAATAGCCTTTCTAAATTAGCCACACATAATTTGGGTGGTATTTGCAAAAGGATGGAAATTTTTAATTTCTATGAGATCACAAGTTTAAGTCATTTATGGGTGTGTCAAGTAGTTTTAATTGCTATTTTTTTAACTATTATTGCTCATTCTCAATATCCAATCTTGTTCTAGCCTTTTTCCATAGTTTGGAGGATATTTAGGTTCCTTGACTACATAGAAGAGGAGCGTTGGTGTAGCATTCATAAGAAAAATGTTAAGTCATTGAAATTAATAATACGAACCTGGATGTCTTGATCATCATAGTATCCGTAGGTTAACACTTAATATGGCAAACAAATTTGAGCGCAAGAAAGAAGATAGAAAAATGTTCATGACAGATGCATGTGCATGACAAAGAAAATTAATTTTAAGTTGTAATAAAAGTGTCTATGTTGAATCAACACATTGAGTTAGATCAAGATGTGCACATTAAGATGGATGTATGTCAAACTATTAAGAAATAATGCAAATTGGCTACAGTAAAGAGATCATGAGAGTAGCACTTATTAGCATGTGATGCTCCAATAAATTAAAGATTTAATGTTAAAGTAATAGAAATTTTAGAAGTATGGCCAAAGAAGCATGGTCTTAAGTAGGGAATAGGGTTTTTGAATCACTCAATAGGGTTAGATGAAGAAAAAGATATCATATAGCCACTCCAAATAGTTGGGCTAAGGAATGTTTATTAATAATGATGATGAGGGCTGAGATAAGAAATTATGAATTTGACTAAAAAATGGCAACAACAAAAAAAACATTTAATTTGATTATCAAACTTAAAAAATGGCAACAACAAAAAAAACATTTAATTTGGTTATCAAACTATAGGACACAATGGAGAAAAAGGATTCATGCAGCCGACCGCACTTAGTGGGATAAATGCTTGTTGTTGTTGTTGTTGTTGTTGTTGTTGTATGAAACTATAGCCATCTGAATGGAAACTTCTTATAAATAATGGCTTAGCCTTCAAAAATGCTCCCATACAGAGATTGGCAGCGTTCCCTAGAGCCTTTATAAAAACATTAAGAGGGATATTAATATAAATTACCGCTACGTCCAAGATTGCTTTTCTAATATGAAATTATTTAATTTATTAAGCCTAATTTTTCATTTTCATACGCTCAAGGAATAAGAAGATAAATGTTAGTCATTTAGAATCACCTATAATATGCAATAGAAACTACAAGTAAAAAAAATCAAAAACATCAAAAAATACATTTTAAACAAAATCAGAGAACCCGGTCATTGAAATCACAATCAACCATGAAAAAAAAAAAATTTGAAATTGAAGAAGAGGAACTCACGAATTTGATATAATTTCAGCAATAATAGGAACCTCGGAGATCATTTCCTGAGAAGAAGCAATCTCAGGTACGCGACAAAATCCTGCCAGAAGCGTAACAGACAGCTTCAGGTATGCATCCTTATCGGCTCCTCCTTTGAGACTGCCTGCTCCTGCGCATGTATTTTCATCAAGCAATGCACAACTATAAAGCAAATTTTAACCAAAAAAATATACATATTAGAACCACTCACCCGTGATCAACAGGCGATGCAGGAAACGAGCCCCGACAGCTTTGTAGATTGAAAGGATTGCGGCGTGATCGTCTCCCTTGGAGAGCCTGGTGGCGAGGAGAAGGCCCGCAAGTTTCTGTTCATCACGTTCGCCCCTCAAGAGATTCAAGCAATCCTCCAAACATGGAGATGTCGACTCCTGGGAACTTTGCATCTACAAAGAGAATGATTAAGTTTGAACTACGAAGTAAGCCTCGACAGAAATGTAGAAGTACTCGACTCACCTTGTTGAACGGGATTTGTGCTTTCTCTTCCGGATATTTAGGGTTCTAGAGCTCGTCCTGTTTTCTAGCGTTGCATTCCAGAAGAAATATTACATCAGTACTACGCACGTAAAAATAACGTGCGTAGCCAATCAAAATACGTTAAAGCAAAATCTCGGTCATTATGTACGAATCTTGAGTAACACGAATCTCTAGATAATATGTGAACAATAAATATTTAATCTTCATTTAACATTAATCCAACTTCACCTTCGGAAACTAAGTCAAATTGGCCTGCTCGATTAAACAGACTCAATGATATCAAAATTAGTTCAATCAGAGTCAGATCAAGCTAAAATCAAATTATTAAACCACCCTTAAAAAGTTTTTTGGACATATTTAAAAGGTTAAACCAATGTCAAATCTAGTAAACTTATAATTGAATCAAATATCTCGACAAGAAGAATCCAGTGAGTCCAAGTTTGCTAAATTTAGATATTGTTAAAACACTCAAATATTCATCAAACATTGTTTGATCGAATGAAGTTTTATGGGTCGTTCGATCAAAGTAGTTCATATTCATCTATTAATTGCAGCCAGAACACTATAAATAGAGTCTTACCCTTCTCATGAGGGGAAGGAGAGCTAGAAGTATGAGGAAGAGCTTTAAGTTTTGAGGAGCTGAAGTACAACATCATTTCTTCCACCTTTGATCGCCGTCGAATGTTATTGATCATTGCCAACCGTTATTGACCGCCACCGACAACAGTCGACCACTGCTCACCGTCGTCGACCACCGTTGACTGTCGTCAATCATTGTCAGCTGTCGTAGACTGTTGTTGACGACCACTGACTTTCGTCGATCATCGTCGACCGCTCTCGACTGCCGCAGACCGCTGTCACTCACTATCGATCGTCGTCGACCACCGTCAACCTCAATTGACTATTGTTGATCATCATCAATCACCGCTTATTGTCGTCGTCTACCACCTACCGGCCTCCATAGATCATCATCGGTCGTCGCCCACTTCTTATAACAATTATACTCGCGCACCCACATTAAACTTCGAAGAGTGTTTAACCCTACCCGCCTGTGAGACAAGGGACTGTACATGTAATATTTTCACCTAGGTTAGGCGCCATGGTTTTTTCCATTTACAGGGCTTCCACGTATAAACTTTTGGTGTCATACTGGTTGCTTTTTCTCTTTTAAATGTCTGTTGAATCTTCATATCATGTTAAGACAATAATTTATTACTCTACTGCCGCGAATTTCTTAGCACGCATCAATAAGAATTGTGATAATGTCATTATTTTGAGGGGGCATCATTGATTTTTAAATTG